AAAAATTCATGATTGGTAAGTTTTTAATATGAATACTTTACAAACATATATTTAAATTAGGTTATGTTCCCCGGTTAAAACTAACTTCGTGTCCTAGAGGAAAATAGCTTCTTACGATTTGACAGCGCTTACCGCTTACGATCGCCATTTTGCTTACAAGCGCTTGCTAGCGCTTTTTTCTGCCAAACGCACCCATTGACTGCTATAATTTATTTAGTATCTTTAGAAAGCGCCATCTATCAAAAGTAACTCATCATAACATTTAAACTATATATTTCGTAGCTAACAACTATCATTTGTAATTTGCGTATGCGCTAGCTAGTTTACGGTCTAACCGTCGGCTGAGACGCGGCGCCCCCATCGGAGTCAACCTACATTCATTGTGCCACAAGGATTACGAATGGTTCACACTAATTTTGAACTCTAAAACAACGCTATAAGAGCTTATTTTACTAACACTAAAGTATAACGATAAACAAATATAAGTTTCGTTTATTGTTAGTTGTGCCTGTTGTTTGAATATTTTGTCTGTTTTAATATATTTATATTAGTATTCAGTTATCAGTTAGTTGCTTAGACCAATCAACCCAATTTGGGTTGAATGTCTAAGGTTAGCTGTCTAGCTGAGATGACAATGACACTGCTATATACGTAATGCTTTGATAACAGGTTCTCCATATCCATATTACGTGACGAAGCTATAGTTGTTTTTGTTTCATTTTCGTTAAGTTTTATACCTAAAGTAACTGTAAATATTTAGTGTAATATTGATAGGATTTGAGTGTTTTATATAAAAGTGCATAATAATGTCGCGCCAGCGCACAGTGGGGTATTTGGACGATCTGGGCAGCCAAGTCGTTTTTGTACATAGGTAAAAAGTTCACGTAGCCCGCGAAACACGATTAATGGGAGAATAATGTACAACTTTCTCCGTCCTAATCACAAAAATTGCTTGTCTGGCCAGTCGAAACTTGAACGTCATCAAAAGTGCACTACAGTTTTTCGATACCGTTTACGCAGTGCTATTTTAAAAGGTTTATAATTTTGTTTAGGCCTGAAATCCTCTTACGCTGACGTCGGTCGCGTACGTCAGTCGCGCGCACTAATGTAAGTTGTAACATTGTATTCTACATAGCCCTACACTACGACGCTGACGACAGCGCCCCGCGCGCGTCGGTCTCGCTCGTTAGCGCCCCGCGCACGTCGGTCTCGCTCGTCAGTGCCGCGTACGTCGTTCGACTGACGAGCGTGGAACTGGAATGGTGCGAGCGCCCTCACTCTGTTACTGACGATGCACGTGTGCGCGTACAGTTGCAATGAATTCGATTACAATGAATATCGATACGGAACGTGTTATTGCTGAGGTGCGCCAACTTCCTGTATTATATAATTTATCTAATAATTTGGACAAAGATCGTGATGCGAGAACAAAATATTGGGTAGAAATTTTCTAGATGTTTTTTCCTGACTACAATAATGAGGACGATAGTAAATAAAAAAAGATAATAAATTTTATCAAAAGTTTTAACATTCATTCTAAAATAATTAAAAAACTTCCTAATCTTCATGTATATTTTCAAATAACGTAGAAAATTCGCCTTTAATCACTCTTTCAGTAAGAATGGGGTGAATGTGATATCTTTTTCTACGTTGACACAGTCTTCGCTTGCGAAAGTATGCTACAGCTACCAAACAATTTATAAATGGAGAAAACTAAAGTTACCTAAGAAGCACTATAGATGTAGATGTACTAACTTACGCGACTTAGGTAAAGTTGGCAGCATTTGGAAAAAGGGATGCTGCTCACGTAGTTAAAGAATTGTTCGCTTCGCCAAAGCGGGCTACAAAATACAAGCAAGTACTTTTTGCAAGATATCAGGAGGATAAAACAGAATCTAAAACGACACCTACACAAGCGCTATCCTTATTTGTCGATGCAGAACTTTCGAGAAGCCAGTATGAACCCATCAGAAACAGAAACAAAAATCTCTATCCTAGTTCTAGTACTATACAGAGGGCCAAAATGGAATGCTACCCGGATAAGGAGTCAATCCAATTTTACTGAAACTTGCGCAGAAATTAATGTTCAGGCATTGCTCGATCGCACAGTAAAAAGATTGCTGATGCGTTTGGGTGAAGTTTTAGAAATACTGAGCGAAGGGGAATGAAACTCACTGGAAATAAGATTCAAATGGGGCTGTGACGGGTCGCAGCACGTTCAACACAAGCAGACATTCCAAAATAATACCGATTCAAATATATTTCAAACCTCATTTGTGCCCCAGCTATTTATCTCGAGATGAAGAACTAACACAGCCAGATTATTCGGTGTCACTTTATTAAAAAAAATATCATTGACGTTTGCATTATGTATTATTAAAATTTCTAAAATATATTATTTTTTTCGCAAATATATTTTTTTAAATTGCAAAAATAATATATATACCGATAGGAATTAATTAGATCACAAAAATAATTTTGGCCGCCCAGATCGTCAAATACCCCACTATGCAGCGTTGCTCAGCCATTTGGAAATATTTTATAGTCCAGTGTGAACGCAAAAAGCAGTGTGCAATTATTGTAATTAGATCAAACATTCTACTTTCATTCTACCATGAATCAAACATGGTTTTAAATCTATTTAATGATATTCTATCTAATATATTTTTCAATGTACCAACCAATAACCAATACATACGAAGCCGTGAACGAAAGGAGAGTACTTTACATACGTGCGCGAGTGTACCCACGCGCAAACGGGGTGTGTTTCTTCTTCGGGGTTCACTTTCTTCCAGCGTTCTTTTAACATGACGCGTACTATATTATCTGCTTTATGTTTTACGATATCTACTATGTTGGACAATGTTCAACTTTTTTGGCACAATAAACAAATTTCAACGTCTATAAATATCAACGGTACTTTCTATTCCAGTTTAGATGTCATTGTTCTCCTAGAAGGGACAAGGAATATATACACGAACAATACAGAAATAATCAAAATAACTACATATTCGAGTACAACTTGAGTCATTATATTAGGAGGAAAAAATTAATTTGTTAAATGTATTGAAGTTCAGCCTTTTAACACAGATATGAGATATCTGAAATAGAATGGAGTCCATAAGAAAAATTCAATAGATACAGTACAATAGAATGACTATGATGAATTTTATACTCCCTGATGTTTTCTTTTTCAATAATTTCATTAACCTATTATTATATATAAAAAGAATATGTGGTATGAGTAAATCACAAAATGCATCAAAAAAATAATTATCGAATTAACAAAAATAACACATAAAAACCATCACAAACATTAGACTTGAAGAATGAATCTAAATACAATTATTATTCCAGTATAATCTACCCCAATGCAGTTATCTGTGAATGTTTGACAATGTTAAGCTGCTCGTAAACAAATTCTTTCTTTTAAATAAAATATTTAATGCTAAACTTATTGTGGGAACACATTTTTGACGTTATCAAGGCAAAACGAAATTTTTCATTTTTCATTCATTCATTTACAGTCCGTCAAAAGTCAACTAATTTTACATTACTACTTTGGATTTTTAAACTTCTAAATAGAAAAAATTTAAATGCCACGAATCAACGCTATATTTCTGGACTGGAATATTGGATTGTAACATTATAAGAATGATACTTATGAAAGAAGCTAAACATACTTCTATAATTTCCATTATATTGTCATTGACATTGACGTGTAAAGATTATATTATACTTTATTATACATTAATAATAAGATATTCAGTTATTTTAGGCGTTTATATGGACTATTTTACTAGGTAAATCTTTAAATTGACTAATTTTATCGGTAATTTGTAATATTTTGACTATTTCGAAATAAGTTCACTATTCAATTATTTATTTCAATTTCATAAAAGGTGATTTTCTTTGCACCTTTATCAAAAACAAATTTTTCCTCTTTATAATATTAGTGTAGATAATACAGTATACCTTTTCGTGTGGCACTTGCGATCGCCGGAATTTGTTTTTATTCTATAAATTACAATGCAAGCAGGAAATGCAGAAGGCAATAAAGCTGGCAAATCTGCCTCCGTATTTATGATATAATAGGTATTTGTGGTAATATAAAACGTTAGAAAAATAATTAGATATAGAATGGTTCACTAGTGACAAGGTAGGTTAAAAGTTGCGATATTTTTCTATATTGGCACAAGATAGCACCAATAGTAACATTAGGGACCTATCTAACGGAAATCTTAACAAGGTGGGAAATAAATATTAATCAAAATACCATAGTATTTTACATAACATTACTGAAACTGACATGTTAAGATTGCATAATTAATAAATATTTCATTTAGATCATAATTATTGAAATTATTCAATGATATAGTTATATAAATTTGCAAGAAAAAAATGTAATTTTTTAATAATAGAAATGCAATTAAGTCATTCATTATGAATTGTCAAATCTTACTTCACTACTATTTAAAAAAAAGTTAGTTAATGGATTTATTTATGTCAATTTACATAAAATTTGTATTCGCTTGCTTTCTTACGTCCCATGCAGGAAGCGTTAAAAATACAATTAAAATTACACAAATGGTACAGATTTAGGTCTGGGTTTGAATTTAAATTTGATTTGCTCTTATTAGCCTCCTACAGTTTGATCTTTTAAATCTAAAACCAATACTAATGCCGACTAAACTCCGATTATACTTGACTAATGGACCTGAAAAACGAAATAAATATGTAGTTAAAAAATAATAAACCACACAAACAAACATTTATATAAATAGGCCTCTATGAGGTACCATATGAATTCATAAGGGTTTTATCGATGATATTTTATAAGATAACTGTTAAAAAAACTAGAGTATTTATAAATATTATAAACAAAGACATTTTAAAATATTTAGTTGAGAGTTGATCCTCAGCAACAAGGAACTGCAGGAACAACTTACATATGCAGAAATAAAATCAAACAATTACCTTATTTGAGGGTCATTTGAAAGCTATGTGCTATTTTCCTTAATATATTTTTGGACTGGCACATCTGATTTTTCCAAGTTATCCTGCAATAAAAAAATGTAATACCTATAACGTTATTAAAAATTTATATTCATTAAAAAAATATAAAATTTTCAACAATTGCTAAATGTGACCAAAAGTAAGAAATTATTTCAACTATTCAAAACTTTTGGGTCAGTTAGACAAAAATAAGCTTGGCGACTGTACGAGGGTAAGTAATCATACTCAGCCTGTGCCAATCTCTGTGCTTGTCCATAGAGTAGGCCGCTTTAGTGCTAAATAAGTTGTAGTTGCAAGATTGTCTGACGCACATCGCTGCTTCAAATAGATTTTAACCTAAGTAATTTTAAACAAATTTTGGTCACCTTAGCATTCAATACACTTACAAACATTAAGTGTGTTGATACACCCTTAGCTTAAAGACCCCTCACCTCATCCAACGTAAGGTTCCCTGCTGCATGTCCATTCTTCAAAGACTCGCGTAGTGTGTCGTCGTCATCTTCGTCTGTGTGAACATCGTAGAACTCCTCACTGTCCATCTCAACATCTGTCACTAAAAATTACTAGATTATCACCAAAAATTCTTAGAACTGGCCAATGTATGACTAACTATGGTATATTATACCTTATGACCTCACCAGAATATTAAATTCGATTTATTATTACCATTTGTTCAAAAGGAACATGGAAGATTTTTTATTACAAAATTTATTACGACTTTCATTGGGAGGATTTTCAAGATTTTTTACAACAAAGTTAGGCTAAATATAAATAGTGTTTTAAGATAAAGCCTTATCTCTGTTAGTGAATATAACTGGTTCAATGAGCTTGAGCGCGGTTATAACTATTTCACTGATTATCCGGGAAACAAATGTCTTTCAACAGAAAACTGAGGATAAAGAGTTAGTGTATTGCATCTCATGATAAAAGATAACCTACCAATAATTTTAGACAAGCTTAGCTCAGGTTATGAATGTATACAAAAAATAAGACACATTCATCATATTTTTGTATACATTCATACCATGCATTCATTCAAATGAAGGTTTCAGACTCTTCAACATTGGTTTAAGAGTCAGAAAGCTTCGTTTTTTGTTTTCTATATCATCCCACATGTTGTAAGAGAAGACAGGAGGAAATGAATCATGAATCAATTCAAAAACTAATAAATAACTGTGGGCTTATCAACTCACCTGCCAAGCGTGGCAGCTATGGTAACTACTATGAGCAATATACGGGAATGCCTAAGTTCAGCAGTGGCTTATGATAGGCTGTAATGATAATGAATAAATGTTTGTTCTAGAATATTATATTTTAAAGGAATATTAAAGTATGTGAATTGTAAAATTGCAAAAGGAAGAAGTCAAGGAAAACAGAGATAGAGGTCTCTCCATTATTTATAACGACAAATCTCTAGACACTTCTGCTTAGACGAACGGTTAAAAATATGAATCTGTCAGGTCAGGTGTAGAGATAATGTGTCATCTGGTATGCAGTTCCAAGTTGGTACTATGCATTTTCTTATTAATGCTTAGATTATGTATTAAGTTTGAGCTATTTGCTATACAAACCCTAAAGATGGAGTGATTGTGTTGTAAAAAGACCATAAAGTAGAGAATGGCTAGTGCTTCTCTCAGTGATTGTATCAAATGCGATGATCTTAATAGAAATAGAGATCTCAATAGACTTTTTTTTATAATGATGCGATAAACTTATAGTCTGTCTGGTGGTAAGTGCAGTCCATGCACACCTCCAGCCAACTTCACACTAAGAAGGCTACAGATGCGTTATCATTTTTGAAAACTTAGATGAAATTCCTCAAAGCCTATACTTAGTATATTATATTTATACTGGCTATCCCTTCAGACTGGCAATACAGCCATGATAGCATTGCTGCTTGGCGGCAGAAAGTGGTTAAACGCTTAAGACGATACATTGAAAAAGTGGCTTTAGGCTATCGCCATACTGCTCCGAGTGAATTACATAATTTCTACGGCAGGTCTAAAATTACGTAGCGCCCGCGACGATTAAAAGCGCTTAGAAATTGTCAGAATCTTAAAATATATTTTTTTAAATTATTGATTTAAGTATTCAAAATAATGAGCAAGAAAATTATGAATATTCATGTTATGAATATATTTGAGTGATTACCAAATATATAGATTAAGTAATTTCGTTGTAATTTCAACTATAGTGATTTTTAGAGGTGTTTTCGCAAAATAATTATGATTGAGTCAAAATTATACAATCGTGTTTTTGGAACAGTCAAATTCAAGATAAAGACATGAATTTACCTATATCAAAATTCTACTTCCGTTAATGGTGTCATAGTCCTATACCATTCGATGAAAGGAGGTGCATTTTTTCGCGGTGTCGCCTTAATGTAGGTCCAGATAATTGGTCCACCGATTCCAGATTTATTAATTTAATGTTTCTTACCTACAACTGATTGATAATCAGTGAAGTACTCAGAATCTGAAGCATAGCTCTGATCCGGCGCGTCAACAGTATCTCCAGAGGTTTCTATTTTAGGAATTTCGCGTCGTTTAGTGCTCCGCTTCTGCTTCAATCTTCGAAGTTGGCTATAACATCATCATACTTTTTATAAAGCATATGGGGAGGAACACAGATACATTACACCAATCAAAACGGGGTAACATGGAACTTTCATACTTATCAATATATTCCCCAAATATATTCTGCAATATTTCTGCAAATTTACAATTTTTAACTTCCCACTAAAATTGAAAATTTTCAAAAATGGGCAAGTTATTGGTTTCACCTCGATTTTCCAAAATCAAGTTTTCATCAGATCTCGACGTTTTGAGATCCCAGGAAGCTATTCTGACTAATTTCACGTGGACGTCCGTACGGATGTATATATATATATATATATATATATATATGTGTGTGTAGTATGTACTTTAATTTTGAACGTCTTGATCGATTGAGATGCGGTTTGCGGCGTTCTAAAGATCTCAATGTGGAATAGATTTGGTGATATATGAACTGATTCGGACGAACGATGATTCGGTAGATTTTGAGATATCTCAAAAATAAAAATTTTGAAAAATTGTTTTGGAATAACTTTTACACGGCTTTACTGATCGATTTCAAAAACTAATCAGCTCTCAACCTCAAAAAATGACGTCGAATGCCGTTTGGAAAATAAAAATCGGTTCATTCGTTCGTAAGATATCGAAAGAGAAAGAATTTGAAAAAAGCATTTTTTTAACATTACTTCGAGAATTCGCAACATAATTTGGTGAAATTCGAAATTAGCGGAAGTTCCAGGGATGGCCTGCAAGGTCAACCGATTTTTTTTCTAGATCTGAAACCTATTTAAATTTATGAAGAAATTTAATACAAATAACAGACAAATGTCGGAAAGCAGTTTTATTAATGGACACAAAAACAACTTGATTTCATTTTCCTCTGTCATCTCTTATGACACCTAAGGGACAAAATGGGGTTGTGGATTCTCTTACTAATACATAATAAGCATATGTGACTCACGCTTCTTTCTGCAGTTCTCTTAAAGCTTCTAATTCTGATCTCATTGAAGAAACTTGTTTATCAAGTCTCGCAACTTCTCTTACTAAAAAGAAAAATTCACATGTTATATCCTTAACATGGAAACTTATTTTGCTGAATGAATAAATTTGAGCATGAGGCTTTTTTAGTTATTATTATTATTAAGATATATAATCTTCACACAAAATAAACTCGGCTAAAGTAAGATCCATGCATTCTCATGTTCAGGGCATACTAGAGTGCATGGATATTATTGTTACCTCGGCTGCCATAATGCCAAATATAAGGAAAGTGTAATATAAAAAATCAATTTATTTTCTAACTTTCAAACCAAATGAATTTGCAATATGCAGCTTTACCACTGATCATGCAAGGGTGATAAGTTCGCGACCTGAGCTACTTATGTACAACCTAGACACAGCATCCACTCAGCATCAGTTAGACTGTGTGCTCATTTGCCATCCCTATTCCATAAAAACATTATCAGTGACCTCCTTAGTGGTAGTACGAGTAGTGTAGATACTCAGTGATAGTGCTAACACTTGTTTTTCTTATTTTGTTTGTTTGACACTTGATCTCTATAAATAACAACACCAAAATGTTGACTCCAATAATTTACACAATTAGATAGCATTGAACTGTTTGCAAATTACTTGTTGAAAAGGAAACATGACAAAGAAGTTTTTGAAGAGATGTTGTTGGTTCCTCTAGGTTACAAGCATCCAAATAGGATGGTACAAATTGAGCTTACTTATTTCAGAACTGTAAAGAAGATCCCTGTCTGAGATTTCTTTTTATAGAATAGGGGGCAAACGAGCACGCAGCTCAACTGATGGAAAGTGACTACCGCCCATAAACAATTGTAACACCTGGGGCATTGCAGGTGTGTTGCTAGCCTTTTAGAAAGGAGTAAGCTATTATATATTTGAAGGTCCCTAAGTCGTATCGGTTGGGAAAAATCACCGGTGGTAAATGATTCCACAGAAGGGTCGTACGAGGAAGAAAACTCCTAGTAAAACATATAGTAGTGGACCACCAAGCACCCAGATGGTGTGGGTGAATTAGTGTTTTGTTGCGATGTGCGTTCATTAAATTTGGCGGCTGGAATTAATCCGGACAACTCCTGAGAGCACTTCTCATGGTAGATGTGATAGAAAATGCCCTTCGCAGTGCCAGTGTATCATGCCGATCAGAGAAGACTCTTGTCTACAGTTCGAGCTGGTCTGCACTGGAAGCGGTCAAATGGAAGGAGCTGGCACTGGGGAGCTCTGGCCCGGAGATGAGAACAGTACTCCATATGTGGCCGAACGTGCACCTTGTAACTAAAGGACTGTATTAGACCATAGTGACCGAAAAAACTACTAAGAAGTAGAAATTTTCGTATTAGCCAACCACAGTACATTAAACTGAAATTTTACATGAACAATTGCACATGAAGGTACCTAAAGGGACATCAATGCATAGACAATACTAGGCTAATTAATTTGGTTAGGCACCTGAGATAGTCATACAAAAAATATGGGTAAATCAGCATGCCATGCGCTGTTTTAGCAACAGAATGCTTAAGTCAACACCACTCAGGTTGCTAAATACAGAATTTGTAGAAATCAACCACCCATTGTACTGGACCTGTCCTCCAATATCTACTACCTATTCTTAAAGTAGGATGTTGGGGTTTCCCCACTAACTTTAAGAATAGGTAGTAAATATTGCCATAAGGAGCTTTCAACAAAACTAAAATTATTAATAAAAAATGCTTCATTCTGACTTAAAAGTGCTATAATAATTTAAAAGCACACACATTAATTTCACCTTGGCATGTTTAAAAATTAACTATTAATTTATCACAGACAAAAAAATGGGTATGGTTTACAAATCGGTCGCCTGTATTAGGGGGTAGGGGGTGTGGGGGGAGGGGAGGAGCTGTAGAGTCTCTAGAGACTCCCCCACAGTGACAGAATTTTCAAATTCAGGCGACCGAATTGTAAACCCAACCCAAAAAAATAACTCCTTACCCAACATTGTCCTTCGCTTCTCTGCGTAAATTTGTTCATATATAAAAACACCCGCTGCTCCAACGAGACCGACGATTGCAGCTCCAACCATCATACGTGGTGATAAAAAGCTGTTCGTATTACTCATGATAACTCCACGTTAACCGCACGATAATGAAAAAAGTCGATTGAAAAAATGGGGTTGCTAATGTATCACCCTTTAAAATATCTGGAATGTAAATATACCTAATTTATTTATTTCAAAAGAAAGCAATGTAAAATAAATCTTTCCTAATATGTTCCAATTGATTTTAATATAGAGACAAATGATGAAATATGAAAACTACAAATTCTATGCGTAAAATTCAAAGCTTTATCAATTATTATCTTGATCAAATAGAAAATTATTGAATTTAATAATCCTAAATCTAAACCCTAAACATTAAAGCAATCACAGATCACTATATACAAAGCAATACGTCAATGTCAAACACAGAAATTCAAATACATTTTTATTTATTTAACTGGCTTTACGGCTCTGGGTTCTAGCTCTTCCGAGCCCATCAATTCTTTCAATTTATTAATTTTATACATTTTTTCTTCACAATTTTTCACATGCGATGCGTCACATTGCGAAATTTTCGAGAGATTTTGATTTTTTTGGTTTTTTGTTTGGTTGGCGGGTTGGGTTTCTGTTTGTGGACAGCTTTTCTTTTTATAGGATAGGATGACAAACGAGCAGTCCACCTGATAGTAAGTGGTTGCTGTGGCCCATAAATGTCTACATCTATCCTCGATTACGAATCAAAATGCAGATGCGTTGTCATCCGTGAGGATTTAGGTGCGAGTGCCTCGTTTCCAGTAAAAAGGGTTTCCGGTTCTCTACACTCACCATACGAAACACAGCAGCATTAAGCTACTATTTGACGCTGTTATTCTTTGAGAGCGTGGTGCTTCCCCGGTCGAGCCGACCCATTCGTATTATTATCAATTAAAATCTACTTCAAACAATATTCAAGTGATATAACAGGAGCGACACTCCGTCGACGGCCAAGTTCCCGCCAAAACCTCCAATTCAAATACAGGAACTTGTAGCGCATAGATTACTGCATGTACTAGAGACTACAGCGCATAGTTTCGACAAAACGTATACGTTACGATTACCGATTATGATTCTATACTCATAGCCATACCTCAACTCATTTTTGTTGTGTAGTGATCATAGACTTAGCTAAGAATAATAACACCTAGAAGCCGAGGCCGCGTCCGTATTGTGAGGCAACTCAAACTAAGCCAGAATGGCTTAGTTCAATACTCGGCCCGTTAGTGCTCTAAGTCATGTCGTGTTGACAACAGTTTCGGAAATTTTAATTAAAAAAGATGGTTTGTGCAGTGAACGGATGTCACAGTAAATGAGACAAACAAGAAACGGTAATATACAATACACTGCTTTATTTTGCACAATGTACACGGTATCACATATTACACAATGTCACCAACACACTTCACTTTACACGGTACACATCTATCGGTTATACGTATTAACATAGATGTTGTCTGCACGCCGGTTACAATTCAACTGCCCGATGTTCCCAAAGTGGGGGGTATTTATGCACTATAGTTCATAAAAGATAGCTTGATCTATGAGACAGCTGTCAGTTAAAATCACGCCTATGAAGTCCTGAATGGTTTTTTTTCGGAGGAAGTGAGAGATACAAGTGTCGTGCCTTTTTTGCTTAAAATTTATTGTTTTATTAAGTGTTGTTGATTTACCATAGTAAATTTTTCTGTCTTGGTGGAGGTTTTAATATCTGTAAATTAGTAAGTGTTTGTAGTTGTGCCGTTTTTATGTAATTTTTTGTTGTAGTAATATAATGGAGGACGAACCTCCCGATCCCGGAAGGGTTCGCAATGATTCCTTTTCCTTACCCACTAACATTGATAATGTAGAATTAATTAACCGTAAACGTGCCCAAGTAAGTAACGAGTCTGCCCATCCACAAAAAATAGTTATTACTGATCCAAATCAACAGTTTCCTTCAATACAATCCTCATATACCCATCCTGATTTTATTAATAAAAAAGTTAAGTACTCTCAAGATGATGCCGCTCCTTTTCTAGTTCACGTAAGTAAAATCTCAAATGATCAGCTGTCTGGAGTAACTCTTAAACCAATTAAATTCGGTCACTTTCTGTATCATAACAATATTAAAAATATAGTCAATGATGGAGTCAAAAAAGTTGGACGAAATAGAATATCCGTGGAGTTTAAATCAGCTGCAGATGCAAACACCTTTATCGATCACCCAGCTCTCCAAATTTCTAAATATGAAGCAACCATCCCCTCATATAGTATCACTCGTATGGGGCTAGTTAGACAAGTTCCCATAGAGTGGACACTAGAAGAATTAATAGCAGCTATAGAAATTCCCTCTGGATACGGTTCTATAATTAAAGCACGGCGACTTAATAGACGATCAGTGAGTGACAGCAATAGCGTTTCATGGGTTCCAACTCAGACGGTTGTTCTAACTTTTTCTGGACAAAAACTTCCTCCCCATATTTACTGTTTTTACACCTCAATGCCAGTGGAAAAATATGTTTTGCCACTAATTCAGTGTCATAAATGCTGTAGATATGGCCATGTTACTTCCCAGTGCCGATCATCTCCTCGCTGCTTTGTATGTGCACAGAATCATGAAGGTTTATCTTGTACTCGACAAACTCCTACTTGCCTATTCTGCTCTGGTCCCCACACCGCAAAAGACCCTACATGTCCTGAACATCTAAGGCAAAAATCTATTAAACTTGTTATGTCACAAGAAAATATTTCATATTTAGAAGCTTCAGCTAGATTCCCTCAGACAAAAAGATCCTTTGCTGATACAACAAGAATCCAGCCTCGTAATTGTTCTCAACAGACCCCTTATACTATAACTGACAGTCTTTCAACCCCTTCGGCTCAGCTCTCACAAACTGCATCATATAAAAAGACAATTTTTATCCCTCAACGTACCCGCAGCCCACCATTAAATTCTGGATATGATATGGCAGCCCATCAAGCAATTGTTGAGAATCCTAATTCTTCCCTTCCTAATGGGTGTGCTCTACTGGGAAATGACAACAACTCCTCTAGTAATGATAATTTCTGCGAACTTATGATATCAATTCTAATTAATATGATCTCCCGTTTTAGTGGCACGGAACTTCCTCTCAGCTTACACCAAAAACTTACTCAGCTTTCCTCCTTAGCCCGTAACATTCGCAGTCCCGCCAATTCTTCAATGGAATTGTCGGAGTATTAGAAATAAAAAAAATGAACTCATTTACCTCATTAACAAATTTCATCCCTTCATTCTTGCCATCCAGGAGACATGGCTTAGGCCTGAATCTCATTTTAGGGTTTCAGGCTATGCATGCCTCCGGGATGATAGGAGTGATGGTCGTGCTGGCACCTCTATTTTAATTTCAAGAACTGTTACATTTTCACAAATTCCTCTCCCTTCTCATAGTCCAGCAGTAAATGCTGTTGCTATTAAGGCCCTTGATGTCTCTATTCTCTCTGTTTACATTCCTAATCCTGATGTAAATGTTTTAACAGAACTTGCAACACTTATCTCTTCTCTGTCACCTCCTATGGTTATTTTGGGAGATTTTAATATGCATCATACTGTTTGGGGCTCCCATCTGTGTGATTCACTGGCTCCCTTATTTTTAGATCTTATTGATAATTTTAATCTCTGTATTCTAAATGATGGGTCTCCTACCCGTCGAGTATCCCCATTACAAAATGTTAGAAGTGCCGTTGACCTAACTCCCTGCTCTCCAGATATTGCTTCCCTTCTTTTGTGGCAAATATTACCTTCTAGCTATGGCAGTGACCATTTTCCTATATTCATCACTCCTCCTACTTCACCTAGAATAAATTTTACATTTTGCCCAAGACTAAAGTATAATCTATCCAAAGCTAATTGGCAATTATATTCTAAAGTCTTGGAACAAGAGGTTTCAACTCTTCCCCCAATTAACAATGATAATATTGCTACTGTATATATAGAGTTCAGAAATGCAATTATTTCTGCTGCTAATAAGTCAATCCCCTTAAAAAAAACCTTTCAAAAATAATTATCCCTCCCCCTCCTTGGTGGGACCTAGATTGTTCAGCAGCTTGTAGGAGAAGAAAAGAGGCTGAATTATTAATATACTCCCGTTCTATGACTTCAGAGAATTATATCTCTTATAAGAAAATTGCTGCAGAAACCTTAAAATTACTGTCAGACAAAAAGCGAACTGGTTGGTTCAAATTCTGTGAGTCACTGTCACCTAGGACTCCCCCATCTTTGGTCTGGAGAAATGTTAAAAAATATCGCTGTGCAGTTTCTAGTGAAAATATAATTTCTAATGATCCTTCCCCGTGGATAGATGAATTCTCTAATAAACTTGCACCACAAACAGTCCCATCTTATGATGAATGCCTAGTTTTTAATTCTGCTTTTTTAAAAACAAATGATAAATTTGATTCCCCCTTTTCTTCTCAGGAATTGTTTACTGTACTCAATGGCCTTAAAGACTCCTCACCAGGTATTGATGGGATTCCTTATTCGTTTATAATTAATAGTAGTGAGAACACTAAAACTGTCTTACTATCCATTTTAAATTTTATTTATATTACTGGTGATCCTCCTGCTGAATGGAAAACCCAAATTATTTTGCCCATTCTCAAACCAGGTAAGTCTAGCAATGACCCTTCCAGTTACCGACCTATTGCCCTATCTTGTACTTTGGCAAAAATCTTGGAACATTTAATAAAAAATCGCTTGGAGTGGTTTTTGGAAAGGAATAATCTCTTACCTAAAAGCCAATTCGGTTTCCGAAAAGGTTTAAGTACCATGGATAGCCTAAGTACTTTGGTCACAGATATTCATATTGCCTTCTCAAGACATGAATTTCTCATAGGAGTTTTCTTGGATATTTCTTCTGCATATGATAATGTGCTTCTTCCTGTGCTCAGGCAGAAAATGCTTAATCTGAGCATTCCAGTGAGGATAGTCAATTACGTCTCTAACTTTCTCTCTTCTAGATCAATATCTATAAATGTTAAAAATCTCCTGCTTC